CAACAACAGTTGTCTCACAGCGCTTTCCAAACAGAGCAGGTCAGACCATACTCTGAAGTTAATTACAGAAACCCAACAAAATGTGCAGTTATTAGTTGGAGGGATGATGCGTCACCTGGTTGTGGGAGGGAGACAGTGGGGTGATTCCAGGGTCGCCCATGCTCTTGGCTGGAGAGGGGTTAGCCATCTCATCTGTACAGGACACAAAAAAGACCCGCCGTTTGATTTTCAACCAACATGTGACGAAAAGCTGAGATTTGAAATTGAAATCTAAAAAAATGACTTTAAATGTGTCACGTACACTTGTTTTTTATGGGTGCCCATGAATGATATTTAGCTAACATTTGACATTAGAGCCAAATCAGTGTCTTCAGCACTGGTAAAAACTAATGAGAAGTAGCTTCTTTTGACATATAGCAGAATGAACATTTAAAAAAAAACATTGCACATATATAGGTGTCTGCATTGTAACATAAGATGTAAACACAAAAAGTAAAATATTCGTTGTTAGCAAACACAAAGACACACCGTAAATGCTTTTTTCCTACTTGTTTGGTCACTTGATTGCTATAATTTGACGTGGCTAATTAGCCACATCATTGTAGAAAAGGTGTGACAAAACCACTGGTTTATGGACTGGAATTTAGACGAATTGTAAAACAAAAATATCCTTTGTGTGAAGGATGATTTGAGCCAAGTTCTATAGGAACAAGGTTAGCTAAACTAAGTTGATATCTTTAAACTGAATGCTAAGGTTAGCTGTTCTTTACAGGGAGGTACGGTTTAGTAAAATGACCCTCACTGGCATTAATCCATCACTGCAACATATCTTCCTGTGGATTTAAAAGTGTGACCTGTTTGCAGTTTACTTTTCATGGTCGTCCCTTTTTTTTTTGGTAAACACAACAACAAAAATAATTCCCAATACTTTATGCTTGCTTTACTGGCAACTGACCATTTCACCCGACTTACTGACCCACTTAATTCACTCTTTTATCAGGAACAAGTGGGAGAAAAAGAAGAAAAGCACATATCTTTCCACCTGGAGGCTGATTTTTCCTCCCTTTCCAGCACCATATTCTAATCCCCGCTTCATGTTTGCCTGGTGGTCACACAGTCCATCCACTGGGGGTCAGTGTACGAACGCCCACATGTGAATTAGTATAAAATTAGCCTTCGTACCGGCGAAAATCGGTCACCTACAAAGGTCAAAGGTCAGCTCACCGGAGTCACATGTTCAGACAGGAATCTTCAATCAGGTAAACTTCTTTCAAATACCAGCTTCTGCAACTTGGTAAAGATGCTCGTAAAGACGGATATTTGGAAGCTGGACAATTAATGAAAAGCTTCAAAATCGTATTTGTCGACTTAAAAAACTAAAAGACTTCATTAATAATAGAAACAGCTGCAGATGTATCGCCTCTTTTTTTGATTGATTAGTTTTGACCTATCAAACGTGGCCATATTTTTTCTTGTGTGCCATAAATTTGTCACGTCTGGTGTGTCGTCATGTCTTGATCACCTATTGTGTACACCTGGGGTTCCCCTCCCTCATGTGTTTAAATAGTCCTCGTTTCCCATGTCCTGTGCCAGTGCGTTTTTGTAATTTTCGTCTTTCGTTTTTTCGTCACCCCTCGCCACGTAAGGTTTTGATTTTTGCACTTTGACATAGTCTTGTTTTTGTGCCATAGCCATGTTTTTGTCACAGCCATGTTTTTCACAGTCATGTTTAATCTTGCTTTGATATTTTGCCATAGTCTTGTTTTGATACTTTGCCACAGTTTTGTTAATCTTTATTTGATACTTTGTGTTCATAGTCATGTTAACCTTGCTTTGTTACTTTGTTCATAGTTTTGCCACAGCCTTGTTTTGAACCATGTCTGCCATCCACTCCTTTTGAGTGTGTTTTTGTTCAAATAAACCCTTTTCACCGACGTTCTCTGCACCTGAGTCCTCCCTAAGACCCACCGTTCTGACTAAATTAAGGAATTGCTGGTTTAAATTCTGATTTTTTCAGGTCATTTCAGCTTAAACTGCGGCCGTATTGGTCAAGCCTTTGGTTTTAGCGGTCAGCAGATAAGAAGAACCGACTGGGCTGAAACTAAACCGAGGAGCTGTCGTCAAACGCTGCATTCACTGACCCCGAAAATCTGAAACTCGGCGCCTGCAAAGGGCCGAGGAGTGAAAGGAAAAGCCGCCTGACTGACAACATCCTCTCCTTTCACGGAGCAGAAAAAAACCGTCTGTTGCACCTGTCTTTAAAGCACACTGACATTTCAATTAAATGGGAGATTGTCTCCCCATTTGCCACCATCATTTTCATTAGGTGGGCTTAATAACCTTTACCGAAAGTGTTCTTTCAACGCACACAATAATAATCCTCCCTCGACGTATTGTGAGCGTCTGGCGGAATCGTCTCACGGCGGGACGTCATGTTATCCATCCTATTTTTCTGCCTCATTCACCCTTTTCTCTGGTCCACCCCTACAGAGTGGATGAGTGGTCTGAAGACCCATAATACACTTTGCCGGGCAATTACGGTGCCGAATTACAGACCACCTGTGGCTAGACTCCATCTAGCCCCCATCTAGGCCGGTTTCTGTACAAGCCCCACTCCCCAAATCGCCTCCACAACACCGACTTTTTATCCTCGACAAAAGCAATAAAAATAAAAAGACGATTAGGGAGAGAAAGTCAAATGCAGCCCGGTGTATAATATAATAAATATCTCAAGTGCTGCACAACTGGGCTCTGAAAGTTGCAGATAGACCAAAACGGCGTCAAAATTCCGGCACAATTCCGGCGTTCGGCACTATTTGGAAAGGCAAAAAGCCAAAAGCCATTTTATCTGCTCTCTATGTTAAATGTCTTTACCGTGTTTGAAACATAAATCTACTCCTTTCATAAGCACAATTGAGGTTTATTTGATGATTAAAATACTACATAGACGGGGTTGGACTTACTGCTACATCTTCTGTGCAAGCTATCTTTCTATCTTTTTAAATAAGAATTTTTTTTTAGCCTGAGTGGCTTTTATTTGATCTGGAATGACAGGAAGGGGCGCAACCCTAAAATCAATTTTTTAAATGATTTACATTAACCGATTTGTGATGTTACAAAATTATGAGATAAAAAAGGTCACAAATCTGCTAAAGAGCTGAAAATGTGACAGTGTTTTTACAATTTTACAACAGTAAAGAGACAAAAGGAAGCCTAAAATCAGCAGTTATTTCAAACAATTCTAAAAACACACTATTTTTGTACTGTATTTCCTTTTTTTTTTTTATAAATACAGATAGTAAAGAGACAAAGTGAGTGAGTAAATATATCTGAGAATAACCAGTAGTTTGGTTCATAATCCCTCCACATCTGAAAATCATTCCTTCAAAACCAAATTCAATGGCAGCACACCAACATTTCTATAAATGATGTCATTATAAATATCAGAGATGATGTAATGGTGTAATGTATCAGTCAAATAAACTAGAATTTCTGTATTCTTTTAGATAGTCTGCTCGTGTTGACATTTCAGCTTTTTTTCTTCCTTCCCCAGCAGGAGCAGGGACTTCCTGTTGGCCTCTTATTGCATCTATTATTATTATCCCAGTGACCATTAGAGAGTGTTGGCAAAAGGGATCAAACTGCTTCCTTCTGGTTTAAACAGACGATTCTGGAGCCTTGTCGCTTTAACAGAAAAATCAAACCGGTGAAGGAAAAAAAAAAAAAAAATCCATTACATGCTTTTAACCTGGACTCTGGGGAGAAAGCATGTCTGAGAATGAGTGTCTGACCATCGGTCTACCCCCAATAAAACGGTCAGCGAGGTCTGTCCCGATAAAGAAATCGACTTCAACAAACGGCACAAACACACACACACAAATAAAAAAAGAGTCCAACATCAAAGAGCCACGTTCACAATTAGTGCGAGGCAAAATGTGCTGAGTCCTCATCCCATCTGAGGTCCCATTCATTCTGAGCAGGCACACAGAGGGGCACCCCTTCCTCCCACTTGGCCGTTGGAAAGAAAGAAAGAAAGCAAAGGCTGAATGCACACACACCCATCCTTTTTCTGAGCAGCATGAAGAGAAATTCACGGTCATGCTGATGCTGCCGATACTAAATATGAAATAAGGCAATTCTGGGCCTTATAAATGTTGAATTAGTCATTCCAAGATCAACAACTCTGAAGAAACTATTCAAACCGACTTATTTTTATATCCTCCTGAGACCCAAAGAAAAAAAGTGTCTTCAAATTTCTTTTTTGTTGTTATTTTCCATGTATTTGGACCTAAAAAAGAACATTAAAAAAATTTTTAAATTATTTTTAATTTGAATTTCATAGCATGTCCACAGTGGAGGACAACAGGACGATTTGCATGGGAAAATAAAACAGGCTTTAGATAATTAAATAATAAAAAAGAAGATGTCGTGAAAGGGATATTTACCTAAGAACTCTTAGGAAAAAAGTAAAGTTCCTAGTTCTTATTACATATTAGTAACATATTAGTAACAATAGGATATTTTTCTCTGTCACCTGTATAAAAGAATACAGAAATTCTGGGCCTTCTAAATGTTGAATTTGTCTTTCTAAGATCAACAACTCTGAAGAAACTATTCAAACTGACTTATTTTTATATCCTCCTGA